TATGCATTAAACATTCTGCATTATGAATTTAATACGGAATTATAAATATTTGCGGATTTAAACTTAAGGCCTATTTGTGTGCGAGTGTCGTCAAATTCAGGTGAATCGATTGTTGTGCTGCATTGAAGGTAAAAGGGGTTTAAATGCGGTGTGCAAAGTTGAATATTTAGTGCCCCCCATCCATTGTGGGCACAGCAATACGTTTTGTTTAAGCCGGGATTTAATTAAACAAGTTTAAACAGGGAATCAAAATGGAGAGAAGCTGGCAGAATTTAACTTAAACTGGAAATGGAAAATGAAATAAGAAAGCCAGATAGCCAGGATTGTTTTTTATTACTATATTTATATAGAAAATATTCCGTATTCCTAAAATAAAATTTAAATTTATTACTTCTTGTTGAATTTAATATGCAGACTAACTTAAAATGTGAAAAATCCAGCGGCATAAAATATCCTTTCGGTAAATCTCGACTTAACTAACCATTGAGCGACTCATTTGAATGCCGTTCCGCCGTTAGTTGGATTTATTGGACGACTCGCGAACTGGAGAATTTTCCTGCTTTTCTGACTAAGCTGGAAAATCAATAAACGCAGAGACTCCAGAGCTACGGGCAAGACATACAAATTTTCCAATTAAGCAGAACACGTTTCCTAACGATTATTTTATACAATCGAAACGAAGCCAATTAAGACTAAGACTATCGACGATTGCGTTGCCACGAATAAATCGTGAGGGGCTTCCAAAGCGCCTCCTCCGATGTGATGAATTAATGAATAACGTTTGCCTGACGACTGACGGTCCGCCGCCGCTGCCTGTCAAAAGCGGAAAAGCTGGAGAGCTGGAAAGCTGGTAAGCAGAAAGCCTGAAAGGTGCAATGTTCCCCCAGCAATGTGCAACAATTGGGCGTGCATTATTTGCAATTGGCAAGTCGCCGTTCGCAATTCGTTAGCCGAGTGCCACCAACGTTGGCGGTGGTAATTGAGGCGTGTGTGGGTGGGGTTGGGTTCACTGCAGCCAAGTGCCGGGTGCTTGACGAGCTGCAGCGCTCGCTTAAAATGTTTGCAGATTGCATTCGTCAGATACGAATGCCAGTGCACACGGCAAAATGCCTACCAAAGAGATACAAATTTATTTAAATATCCACTGTAACTCCTAAGATGCATATGTTATGGAAGAATTTGTTATGGAGGAATTAAATACAAAGAATTCTATGAACTGGACAAAAGAAAGCCTGGATATGCATCTGTTTCATCACAAAACTTGATCAAGTTGGGAATTTTAGTGGTCAGGCCAACAAAGTTACAGAGTCTCCTTATGTTCCTTGGACTTCCAAGATTTTTGGTCCGCACTTTCATGTGTTTATTAGGAAAGTTTAGTAATAAATATTATACTAAATATCGAACAATTAATATATTATTAAGCTAACAATTTTAAAGAAGGTCCTTTCAACTTTTTAAATGCAAAAGATTATGATCAAAATAAATACAAAAATGTCAAAAGCTAGCTTTTTTCCGGGTGCACCTGGGGATGGCTCAACAATTGCGAGGCGCGCGATTTTCCATTTTTATGCGCAGCATTTCCACAATTCAAATTTGCACACAAAGTGGCAATTTGGCCCAAAACCGTTGCGAGCGCCTTTTATGGCCTATACAATCAGAGACGGAGTTGCAGACGAGACGGAGCTGCGACTGCCAACTGAAAACTGACGACTTGCAACTGGCAACTGGCAACCGGCAACTGGTAACTGGAAACGGCGCATAATTGAATGGAAGCGCTCTCCGCGTTTCTTCAAATGAACGTCAATTAAAAATGCATCATAACCGCCCCCAGCGCCATTCCATAAACGCTGCCTTAATTTATTCCCCCCATCAGGGGGCGATTCTGGCCATAAAGCAAACCAGTCCCAGGTAATAGTTGCGTATTAGTACAAGCCCCGCACCTCGGTTCCGATGCTGCCATGTGGCACATATAGATTTATAGATTCTTAGAGATAGCCCCCATGATTGGCGGATCTCAACCTGATGGATTCGTAATGTGCGTCTAAGAAGTAAATTATCTCTGGGCTTCGGTAAATTGATTGAAATTGATAAGTTGCATTTTGCCAGCGCCATCCCTGAGCATGCAAAATCCTTAATCAGATCTTGAAAACATGATATTAGGGGTCATTATCTCCGCCCGATGCCATAAATATTGAATATTTATTGAACTACCTGAAAGCCAAAGCAAATTGGAAGCCATTTACTTAAACAAGTGTGTGAAATCAGAAAGATTATTAAGGAGAACTATATTTTTTGGTATTTTATCAACAAATATTTCTCAGAATTAAGGCAAAGGAAAATGATCTTCAATCAGTTTACCTTTAAATTATTCACTTCAAGAAGATTAATCTCAAAGGTCTTTAAAGTATTTATTCAAAATTTTAATGTTAATTAAAGGATGTTTACTTAAAATTTCCAACAATTGTTAAACATCATGTCTCCATTTTCATATGCTTTCTTTACTAAGATTAAGATTACTCTATTGAGAACATGGTAAATAATGTTCGTGAACTGCAATTTTGATGTGCATATCACTGCCATTGTTTCCGCCCATTCACATTACTTGCTGCCATCAATAACTATCTGGCAAATGGCTTAATTAGAAAGTTTTCAAGTGCTTGGAGTTGTCGTCGCCGGAGACTCCTTTCCACCCGCTTCCTTTTGGTGGTTCGTCCATGGGTTATATGCCTCCAACTCAGCACCCACCCACACACACACACACCCTTGGAGTTCGGCCAGTCGATGTGGCTGATTTGGCCCACAAGTTCGAGCTGGCAAGTTGGCCTTGCTACCCCCTGAGTGCAATCATCGGCGCCTTGGCGTGTTTGTGTGCAAAGCAGTCATAAAAATTACAATAAACAATCATCATTTCGATCCGTTTACACCCACTTTGCACGTTTTCGCAGGCCGTGGCAAGTGAAAAAGGATTCCGTACTGGCTTACACCGCTCCAGTTAATAATGGTGCACTGAGAAGAATAGTTTATTAATAGTTTATTAAAAATGTTAAAGGTCTGCAAATATTTGGAGTTGAAAACTAACAACTATATATTTATTTTAAAAGTTAAAAAGTTGTGTTAAATATATTTTAAGGCGTTTGTCTACTAAATTTAATTTTCGCAGATCTATAAATAGTTTTCCTCAGTGTGTGTAGGAGGGTCGTCGATTTGTTGGCCAGCAGCTAACAAGTAGGCGAAAACCGCGAGGCACCGCACTCAAACAAAAGTGCTCAATTAGTCGCCTCAGTCCTCTCGTCAGTCCTCGATCCTTGGATTAGGATGCGGCAACTGGCGGTGGAAATGGGAGTTGGAAGGAAATGAGGAGCTGCCGACAGCAGCGGCATGCAAATGCAAATACCCGGGCAACTGCCAATTGTTTGATGAATTGCGGCCAGAAGTCAAGGGTTCATTGCCAGGATTAGTAGGTAGCACCGAATGTCTTCATTGTGTCCGCGGAGGCCCTTCTATTGTTTTGGTCTGGTTTGGTTCGGTTTGCCTGGTTTCTGGCCAGCCTGCTTTGCATAAGCAGCCAGTTGTTGGTTGGTTCACAGCGCCCTCGGCCCTCAATTGATTCCTGACCCCGTAATGAGGATGAGCGCATTTTCCGGCACCACTGAGCCACTTTGCGGTGGATTAAGTCATCAAGCCGAAGGCATTTTTCCCGCGGCGCCTGCGGTGTTTGCTCTGGAGGTGGGAATAAGGTCACAAACATTTGGATTATCAGAGAGAATTGTTTTTGGAATATTAAATACGAACAACAAGTAAATAATAAACTATTTCTCCATCTATGAATTACGGCTTGCTTAACTGAATTAAAATTATAATACTTTATGTCTTATATCCGGGATTAGGGACCTTTAATGGTTAATAAACCCACTTGTGGCTGTCCCATAAAACAGGCATCGTTAAATAGTATGACAAGATGCTAAAATATAACCTGTTGCTCAAGTCGTACCCTCGTACCGGTGAGTCGTGCCACCAAATAGCAAATGAAACCATTTAAATTGTCGTTAAATAAATTTTATTGGCTCGTAAAAAGAAAAACCGGCAGTCGGCAATTAAATGCTAAGCAGAACAGAGCGGAACAAGATAGAATGGCATTTTAACAACTATATAAACAAATTGCGGTTAATACCAAACACAGACCTAGGTTTTATGGTCTTTTTACGACTTGACGCCACCGCCACTGGAGAGAGTGAAACCCAGAGAAACTCGAGGGGAATCTCTCTGAGGGACGCAGAGAAAATCACTCAACAAGCCAGCGATCCGAGCATCCTGATTTCGAGTGTCCTTTTTTGTGATCCTGAGTGCCTTCGGGGGATGGAGATGTGTTCATTCCGGTGTGAGTATCTGAGTGATTTTTTCTCTCCAGCTCCGGCTTGAGTCTGCGGACTTTACGACCTTTTTACGATCTGTTAGTGTGACACGATGACAATCAATATAAAAGACATAAAAACCCAAGTTCCGTGACGTATGCCATAATTATTGTGATATCCCCCTTGCCCTGCCTCGCCGAGAGATACAAATGTATCTGTATCTGAGCTGCGAGGCTGATGGCCCATAGACATCGTATCGTTGCCTTTACGAGGTGCCTCGGAAGCTGCTGCCGTTAGTTTGATGATGATGCCCAAGGAAATGGCGGTAAAATTTTATTCGAATGCATTTGCCTTCGCCTCGGCTGCTTAGTGATTGCATATGGATGTGGCTGGGGCTTTTATGGCATTTTAACGATTTGTTTTGACGTCGGATTTGGCCAGCATTGCGATGATGGGCAAGGTCGCAGCTCGTTGACGCCCTGATTTACGCACTCGAGGAAGTACGTTTTGATGGCGCCCATAAATGTAGTCATATTTTACTCTGTTTTTACAGCGCTTTTTCATGAACTCACTGGAGAAGTACAAATTGAAATATCTTTTATTACCTAATAGGAATAAGTCATTTGAAATTGGGTAAAAAACGTGAGGTCATCGTTGGTAATTTTGTTTTATTGTCAGAGGAATATTTTATAAATTAATGTAATATATACTTAAAAAACATTCCCTCTTACATAATTCCCTTAGAAAATATGCCCGTCTGATCCCATTTCCCAACCCTAATCTCAAGTTTGGAACCGTTTCCTAGGGGCGTCGATTTTCAAGATGGTGGAACCTAAACTGCCGAGACCGAGTTTCCTCCAAGAACGGACGCATCAGAGGCAACATGTGTGCGCTTCAGAATCGGTCCAAGTATAAGTATCTGTATCTGAATCCATATCTGTATCTGGGCCTGTTCAACGGGTTCCTGTTTCGAATGCATCTGAAGTGCACTCTGCTCGGGTGTGTGCGTGTGTCTTTATGCTAAATGTGCCATATATGCGGTTATATTAAATCATCTGCTTGTAGTAAATCACCCAAGGAGCGGGTGTGACTCGAAGTCACAAGTACAGCACTGACATCCCAAGGCATATGGCATATAGTATAAAGAAGATGAAGCCATCCCAGTGCAATGGAGACGTGTTAATGTGCTGTGGGTTAGAGGAGAAATGCTTTAGTAGGAGAGATACTAAGTAAAGCTGATTTTCTTAGTTAGTAAAGTGGATCTACTTTTCCAAATATAATAGTTTTAAGCTGAATACCTATTAATTTTAATCTGTTAACATTTTTCCAACTCAAATAGACACTCGAAAAGACCCATGCAGATCTAGGGAAATATTTGCAGGCGCCTCTTACTGACAGCCAAACAAACAGCAGTACAGAACAGGAATATGTACATCTGAGAAATAAATCAAAATTCTCATATTTGGCAAGGATGAATGCGGCCCGAATCTGGCCCGAGTCTGGCGCAAAAGAGAAAGTTGTTGGCCCTTTTGTTCCCTGGGCATTTGGCCATGCCGGTGGTTTTGTTATCAGATGCTCGAGGGCGCGATCGGAGCATATAGTATACACATAGTAGTACCTACCTCGGGACACCACCAATTTTACAGGGGATTTACGAATCCACCGTGTAACGAGAGGCTTCCCGATCTGGGCATATTTTTATGATTTATTACCGGGCCCGGCAATAATCGAGAGACAATACCTGGGTGTCCTTTTTTGGGATCGTTACGATTCCGATATCGGCGGAGAGGCGATAGCAGTGAGTCAAAACAAATCTCCTAAGGTCAGCTAAAAAGTATCCTTAGCCTTGGCATTTTTTACGCTCTCGAGGACATGTTGAAAGGCAGCATTACCATTTCCATTCCCATTTATGGCTGCAATATTTTTTATGACACATTTTTATGATTTATGAATTGATTTGGTTTCGACTCCGGCGTTCTGTTGTTATTTTTTTCCTTCGACCTTCGAGTCCTGGGAGTTCTCCAGGATCACCAGGGCATATTACGATCACCTTCGGCGGTGTCTGTTGGTAATTGTTCTCGTGAAATTGGGCGTTTTAATGTGTGACTTTTATGGCAACAGTCTGTGAATGCTAATAAGGCGGTGAGTAATAATGAGAACCATTAAATTGGGTCATCAGGGAGATGTTGTTGGCTTGTAAATCTATTTTAATTAGGTATTTACATGTTTTAATGATTGTTTTTAGGGACATTCTTGACATGTAAACGTGTATGTAAATCAAATTGTAAACAATTCAAATTATTCAATTCCTTAAAAAATGTTAATGTATTGAAATCATTTCATTCTGGAAAATAAACCAAAAAGCGCTTTAGAACTACTAAAACCATCTTAATTAATTTTAGTAGATTTTGTACTTAAGATTATTTTTCCTTAGAGAAATATGTTAATAAACGCTGTGGTTTCAAACTGAAACCAACTCCTCGTTAAATGCAAAATCTCCCTGGCGAAGTGCAATAAAAATGGGAAATTATTTAACCAACAACTCGACATGGCCTGCTCTGGCAATCTCCAGTGTGTTTACGTTGCGAAAACAATTGAAATCATAACAATAAAATCAAATTCGAAATTTGCGAGCGGTGGTGGGCGGTGGTGAGCAGAAAGCCGGGGCCATAGGGAGGCGGGTAAGTGGTGAACTAGTAAGCGCTGAGCGGGCCAATGGGCAACCAGTTGCGTCAGAGCGGCGATGTGAGAAAATTTCCAGTTAAAGGTAAATGGTAAATGGGTGAAATGCTCAAGAAAATCAAGCCAGAAACAGAAACACAAGGCACAGAGACAGCGCAACGAGCGAAATGGCCATAAACTTAAGCCAAAATGCTCCTTAGCCAAGGGTATGAGATGGGGGACGGACGGACGACTCAACCAACCAGTTCGGCAACGCGAACTCCGAACTTAATCGAAACATCAAAGGAAGAAAGCCAGCCAGCCAGCCAGCAGCAAAAACAAAAAGCCAGGCCAGCAACCAGAAACTTATTAAAAACAACAAGTGCAGCTTGCTTAGCGAGTTGGCCAAAACGGAGGGTGGCTAAGAGGTGTGGAGGGGTTTTAACCAGACACGGAGGGTATCAGTGGTGCCAAGTTAGCTGGGATTAATCCTGGACAAATAAAGGTAGACAGGTAAAAATAAGTAAGTAAAATAAATTAATTAAAATTAAAAAAGTGATTTATTTATATGTAAGTACTTTTTGCATTTTCATAAAACATATGAAAAACAATATAAATTAAATTCGGGAAAAATTGGAAAATATGATGGTTAATTATATTTTCCAATGCAGTTTTGTTTTAAGGATATTTTTAGAATTTTCCCATCCTTCTTTACCTTTAAAACAGACTGTTTTTCCCAGCTCCCCTCAGAGCTGGCTGCACTGGAGGGCATTCGTGCTGTTTGTGCAGTGGCAGCACGTCCCAATCCGAGCGACTTGGCTCTGCTGGCCGTGTGTCCGACATCGACAAGCTGCACACTGAGCGAAAATATCAGTTAGAGGGACTCGCGATGCAAGGGGGGAGCACTCAAAATGGGCACTTTCGGTCGCAATAACCACGACATTTACGATTATTTTACGGCCACTAAAAATCAAAAGTGTAATTTACGGAACCAAACCAAACTGAACCGAGACGAACAATGAGGCGGCGACGATGTCGACGACGACGGGAGAGAGATGGCAACAGGGGCCCAGAAAGAGACGGGCGATTGAAGGAGTATTTGTATTTGTATCGGTGTTGCATCAGCTTAGATGGAGTCCCATCCATGGGCGTCGGAGGGGGGATTAGTTTGCAGGGATACTGCTAGAGGGTTCAGGGGTCACAGGGGCGTGGGAGGTGGGTTTTGGAGTGTGTGTTGTGGGTGGGTGAATGCTGCAAGCGGAGATTATGGAGGTGCCCGCCAAGACAAAGGCATAGCCCAAAGACTTCCTGCAGCGTGAACTGTGGCACAAAAAAGGGGAAAAGTAAATTTAATATAAAGGTTTCAGATATATATTAAATATATTTTAAAGAAATGTATGTTTTTATTGAATATTTTAGACGTTTCAAAGTCAATTATTATGATATACAAATCATTTAAAGCTAAATTATAAGTTGAACTAAGAATGTGCTGTTAAGAATACATGAAAACTATATATTTTTTTTTGCCAATTTCCAAACAATTCAAATGATTTCTATAGGATTATATATAGTCTCGTAAGAAGATCCAAGCTCAAAGTCTGAGAGGAAATACTGGGCTGAAAACCAGTTGAATCTTAACTGGATGCTCCGCCATGGACATTGCCGGCAGCCAAATGAAAAGCGGTCTTTGCCTCCTTTGGTTTCGATTCCCTGCACTTGCTGGCTGTCCCTGCTCTGGCTTGATTTTTTCTTTATTTTTTGCAGATCTTTTCTCGATTTTTTCTTGATTTTTCCTTTATTTTTTCTTGGCCATCACATGTGCTGCTCCCCCCCTCTTACCCACTTCACCTGATTGCGATTGGTGTGTTCTTGTTCCATGGTTGCAAATGCAGCGAATGTCGAAAGCGCATCGCGTTGAAAGATGATTTTCATGTTTTTCCTCCCCTATTTCCCCCCGCTTCAACTTCAAGTCTCCCCACTGTTGAGCCGGAATCGTGGCCCTAACGATGCTCAAAGTAATTTTGTTGTCTTAACCGCGTTTACTGACATCTTGATGCTTTGATTGCTCCGATTTTGGATGGAATCGTTTGCGCTGCAACACCCGCACTTGGCTTTATCCCATTGCCATTATCGAGCTTCGAGTCTCTGGAAAAGCCGGGGAAATTGAATTGAAGTCTTTGATTGGCAATATGCTCCGTTGACCCCTTAACAAGTCCGTCGATCGTAAAGCGAAGTGGGCAAATCCAGAACGAGGCAATATAAATAAAAGCAGGAAAATGCCGGCTTTGAAATTGGTCCATTTAATTGGAGGACTCGCGAGGAAAGTGTTTTCTTGGTATCTTGCGGATGGAAATTTTATTGGGGGAGTTGGGTGTTTGTTTTGAAAGTAATTTAGAAAATAAATAAATTATAAATTACAACAAAATATACTTGGTACGGAAATTTAATTGAATCTCCCTGGAAAATAAACAGAAAAGCAAATTCTTCTATATATTTATATTTAAAATATTCCATGAAAATCTTAAAGCAATTGCATTTAAAGTATATATCTACAGATACTACAGATTTAAAACAAATTACAACGCCGAAGTTTGTTGATAAATCATTAGAGACATATCTACTTCTTTATTGATATATTGTATGCAAGAATTAATAGTGGCTAGCTCCCAATTAATAACATATTCCATAATTCATTAATACCAAAAAAGGAAGCTAACTTTGACACGCCGAAGTTTGTATCGCCTTGCAGATTTTATATCACAATTAATAATAACAAAAGCTCATATCTCAGAGTAGATGAAAATACGTTGAAAAACAACGAAGTTATACTTTTTTTTTCTAAAAATTTATCGAACATTTGTATGGCAGCTATATGATATAGTCGTCCGATCCGGCCCGTTCCGACATATATAGCAGTGACAGTATATAGAAGACTATATGCAAAGTTTCATTCAGATAGCATTAAAACTGAGGGACTAGTTTGCATAGAAACGGACAGATGGACAGACGGACATGGCTAGATCGATTTGGCTGTTGATGCTGATCAAGAATATCTTTAACTTAAAAACCTTAACATTTTGTTAGCGCCATCTAACAGAGGACAACTTCAAAGGAGTAACAGTGGCTCTAAAACTGCAGCAGAGGCGAGTGACCCTCAAACTAGCATTGACACGAAGCCATAGAGGGCGCTTGCAGCACAGTATCGCCATCTGGCGCAAAAAGGCTGAAGCTCAAGCAGAACGTGAAATTTTTTCATATTTTAATATTTTCCATTTCCTGTTTCCGGTTTCCTGTTTTGTTTCAACTAAAGTTAAAGACGTTTTTTTAATTTTAGTTGAGTTAACTTTTTTTTATAATTTTCCTCAGGTTGTGCTGTACTTTTTTTTGAATTCTTTCCTCGGGTTTTTTTTTTAAGAAATCGCTCATCCGGTGAAGTCAAGCGACGTCTGCGCCGCTGCGAGTCGAAACTGGAAATGTGGCTCGGTGGTTGAACGAGCAGCCACAAAAAAAATTCAGTCCGGCATTTCATCAACGCAAAAACACCACTAAAATCGGTCGTCGACGTCAGCAGCATGAACAGGAAAATGGGCTTGGCCTCTGCCAGTTTGAGTTTGAGTGAGAATTTCGAGGCGGAGGCGCTCTTTCTCCTGCCTTCTTGGCTCTCGGTTCTCTGTTCTCCGGTCTCCCTTTTCTCACTTCTCCAATGAGCCGTCGGGAACTGAAAGTACAAGAAATCAAGCAATGTTATATAATTTATTTATTTTGTATTTTAGATTTAAGAAGAAATTTCTGTAGTCTGTGGATTTTTTATGCATTTTTGTCAATTTTTTTAAGAACTTTATTATTTTATAACTTTAAGCAAAGTGTTTTTTAAATATGCTTGTTTTTAAAACCTATAAAATTGTACATTTTTAGCTGGGTAAACCAGTTTGAAGTTTTTCATGCGTTGTAATAAATAGTCGCATAAGAAACCTACAAGAAATTATAATTATATTTCTTATAGAACAAAGTATGGCTACTTAGTAAAAATTAAGAAAAATGTATTTACGCAATCCAAAGACGAAGCTTTAAATTAACTTGTAAAACAAACACTATTTTATTATAAAACCTAGAGGAATCCTGACTAAAATGTTGCTTCTTAAAGACAAAGACCTAAGTTTAAAATAAATTTTTATAAGTTAAATCTTAAATGTAAATTAAATGAAAAAAGCAAAAAATTCTAGTGTCGAGTCTTTAATAATACTTATCTAGTATCAACGTAATAAATATAAAATAGTAGAGTGTAATAATAATTAAAAATGAAATAAATAAATTCAAATCTTTTTATAGAATCTACCAAATCAAGTCATTATCAGAGGCCTTGTCGCGTTGCAAGTCCGCTTTCAGGTTTGCCGCACAGTCTAATTGAATTCACAGAGCGTGTGTGTACAGTGAACACTGGGCAGATGGGAACAGTAGCCGCCTGACGAGATCGTAAAATGTGAATTATGATAAGAGGGACCTGGCCCCTGGAAAACGTTTTATTCGAATTTAATTCAAAGTGTTTCTAATTTCCAGGGGCATTGATAATTTCGCACGAATCGTTGCGAGATGAAGTCGTCAGCCGGGAATGGACCGTGGAGTAATTTCATTTCACGCTGCCTGAAATGAAGTGCGCATTTCTGACAGCTCCGGGGTAGAAACGGGGGAATCGACCTTGCCACCATCGACGACGATGGCCCCGGCTTGGGCCCTTTGTTGAATTAAGTTTCTGTACAAATTTTTTTACTCTCATCTCGGCGGCGCATATTCGCCCGGCACCACAAAACGATGCCAGACAATGGGAAACTGCTTAAAGATAGCTAGCAGCCAGCCAGTCTCACAAAGAGCACCCCAGGAGCGATTATGGACTCGGGTTGAAGTCGGGCTGAGAGTCAGATAAGTTATTGTAGCAACCCCTGCAAGGATCCGTAAAAATAGGACAGGCCGGGGCTATAGATACATTCATCTGCCCGGAGGGTGCGTCGTAAAAATGAGTTACGAGTCCTGCCATTTTAAATTAAAATAGCAGGCAGCCAGCAGCATCCATTGTGGCAGCAAGATGGAAGCGCACAAAAAAAGGAAAAAGGTCAAAGGCCACAGTGCCACATTTTCACATTTCCACCCCGAAAACTCGCTATCGAAATCGAAATCGAGCGGACGGCTACAAAATGGTCATGTTGACAGAAGTAAATCTCTTGAATTATCGCATTAGAAAGCCGCATTCTCACAGATATATAGAATCGGAGTATGGGTAGATTCCGGCCCGATGAAGCCATGTCGTAAATAATCAGGATCGGAACGTCGCCGGGGAATTATAAAGGATTTTCGGGCAGCCCTGTTGATTTAAGCATTCTTCCAGAGTTTGTTTAGCATTCAAAAGGGTTCAAAAGAGCATGGCCACCCCGAATTTCTAAGGTGATCAGGATTTTATTTGTTAACTTTATTATAATATCCAAAAGTTTAGTTATTTCAAAATTTGGGTAAATAGAATTATCTTACCTTTTCCCTCTCAAAATGAACTCTATATTCCCAAATAAAACCAAAAAATTCCGTCGTTGCACATGTAAAGTCCACATAATATTTATTTATGAGGTAATTGCCAAATATTTTTGTATTTTCTTATTTTTCAATGAGGACAAAAATCAGAAAGATTTCATAAACATTTAAAGTTTTCAAATTGCCTAGAGATTTTAGGAACAAGGTCCTAAACCTTTCCCATCGGCAGCATTTTAGAAAGTTATTCCTAAAAGTTGTAGGCAACTTTATAGATTATGCGGTAAAGACTTCATCAATTCATCTTGGTTGGAACCTTACGCTACATATAAGGATAAATGAGAGCAATACGACATCAATAATACTTCAGCCGAAGTAAGCAAGCTAGTAGAGTGAATTCATAAGCAACCGATCGATCCTACTGACCTTGAAGAGAATAATACGACCCAATATTAACCTTCTGAAATGGGATATAAAAGGAGGTTAAAGCAAAATGCTTGAGTAAGAGCTTACCCGGAGTGTAACATCGGAATTGTAGTATTAGAATAGTGTTTCAGAACCAGATAGATGATATCGATAATTCTGAAAGAGGTTACCAGAAAAGTTAAGATTAGGAAACTACTAGAAATGGTAACTAAGTAACTTCCTGAAATGGGATATCAAAGGAGGTTAATGCTTACCCGGAGTGTAACATCGGAATTGTAGTATTAGAATTGTGTTTCAGAACCAGATAGATGATAACCGTTATTTCTGAAAGAGGTTACCAGAGGAGGTTAGATTAGGAAACTACCAGAAATGGATACTAAGTAACTTACAATTCAGTGTTTTAGTCGTGTTACATTAGTAATGGAGAGCCACAAAATTGTATAGTAATTATTTTGTTATGCCGAAATATAAGATTTCTAAAGAAAGTTATCAAAGAGATTACCAAGGAAGTCCACACCAAATGTGATCAAGGCTTACCGAAAGATTTTCCCAAAGAAATGCGCTCAATATAGGTGTATAAATAACGGTACTCTTCTCCAGAAGAGCTTACCATTAAACAATAAACAGAAAAATCATTGAACGACGGTGACGGTGAAGTACTCCTCCGGCGCCACCAGGTACTCAAACTTGCGGGTGGCCAGTCTCAGGAAGCATACGCTATTCGCAGGATCAATGTCCCGCACAGCGCTCTGGCAGGTGCTTACCAAGATTCCGTGAATGTGCTTGACTATCGCCTGGGCACTGGTGTTGTCAAACGAAGACTCGGCCACCGCATTGGCTATGTTATCGGAAACCACATAGCCCTGAGTGGACTCCACGGTGATGCGATCCACCACACTTGCGTTCCGGTGGATCACATCCTCCAGAACTCGATTCATAACGTGTCAAGTGTTAAGTGTTTGGAGTATTTTCAAAGGTGAACTGAAAAAATTTTGATTTTGGAGCTGGTAGGAGGAGTATTCACCTCACCGTTTGAGCACGTGAACAGTACTGAAGTTCTGGGAGCAGTAACACCCAACAGTTGACATTCGGTGTGACTTTAAAGGCAAGGAGATCTGGGTTACTTGGATGTTTTTAATAGGAAAATTTCTGCGAGCCTACTAAGACATGCTTTTTAAGTTGAAAAACTATATTCGTAAGCCTTGTAAAGGTCCCTCATCTCTTGTAATAAGTAATTAAAGCTAGGAATATCCCAAGTCAAATTAATTAACCATCAAGCCCCCTTTAAAAATTCCACCATTTTCCTGTTCGTTTTTAATTTAAATGCCAGCATGTTTTAATATTTTTATATTCGGATTTATAATTAGTGTTGGGCACACGCCTATCGCGTTGATTGAATAAGTGTTGCTCCGCTCACGCTTTGCAACATATGGCGGAGGGCTCGAATAAATTAAACTTATCGAAATTCTCTTATCTCATGGTGGTCTCTGATCCCCGTTCCCCCCTTTCCCATTGCTCATTTCTCATTTCTCACTTCTCGATTCTCATTTCCCCCATTTTTGTATAACCGAATGCCATTGAACTTGCCCTGGAACGGCGAGGTCAGTTCGAATTACTGCACACCAAATTGATATTCTCGCTCAAGTTCAAGTGGTCGCGTGGCTTTTCTTCCATCATTTAATTTTCATGCACATTTAATGGCGTCTGTTATTGGCTTTAACGAGATTTCCACTCCACTTTAGAGACTACAGACCACAGACTACAATCTACGGTCTATAGTCCGCCGCCGTCTAATTGACTTTTTGACTTTGACTGCAGTTCGTTGACTCGGAATTAAATCTAATTCCCTCAGCTTAAAGCCGGCTTAGCTTAGTTTCTAGTTTTTAGCGGCCATAAATCAGGGCTAGCTGAGCTGCAAATTCTGGCGGGTGTTTAGTATTTAGTACGCCACTCATCTGCTGCTGCCGGCCCTGTCCTCATCTGTATTCAGAAGTGGAGAAGTGCTTGTCGGACAAGTCCGGAGAGTGCATGTGCAGGCGGGATATATGCATGCATATGTGCATATACCCCTCTGATCCGTCCCGGATCGGCCCAAAATGGCCACTCGAGCGCCCAGAACGGCCATAAAACACTTTCGGACATGTTGCTGGGCCAACAAACAACTCTCAACTCCCAACTCTGGGCTGCTCCGTTCTTTTCTGCCTCCGAGCTGGTCAATAAAATGTGCATAAATTCCGATGCCATTCAACGGCAACCCAAAACTGGCTTTGCATTTAACGGGTTAAGTACAGTGGATTGGGATTACTTAACACAAAAATGGGGATTTTAATTTATTTAAGAAGATATAAAGAATATTTCTCAATATGAGTAAGTATGCCTGATTTTTTAAATAAACTTAAGAAAGGCATAACGAAAAATAAAATTGTAAAGGAGTTTTTTATAGGCTTAAAACCACCAGTAAGTATTTAAAAAGTTTCAAACTATTTTTATATAAAGCAAGCTTTTCTAAACAGCCAGACTTATTTGACATTTTAAATATTTTAAAAAATCTAAATCGGCACAGTTTCATTTCAAAATAATATCCAAAACTGTTATATCTCGTTCCCTCAAACCCATGGTAAGGATTTAAAACATTTTCAAAGTGCTTTCCCCAGCCCAACGGCAGGCTATGCCAGTCCATGATTCATGGCCGCCGAATGCAAAACGAGAGATTTGTGGCCGGGGAAAATGAATTGTGTCCAAGTTCGGACTGTGTGCCATTTCAAACTATGCAAAATGCGATCTCATAAATCCCCACGAGCCCAAGTCGGCCCGCTTTACTATCTAGTATCTCTGGACTGGGCCGGGGGTTTTGGGTTTTGGGGTTGGCACTTTGAGTTTTGGCTTCGGGGCGGGATTAGGCGGCAAACGCTTATCCGAGAGCGAGATACTCGGCATTATGCCGGGGCCATAACTCATTTAATTAGATGGCTATCGCTGTTTGGGCATAATTCAGCCACCAATAGACGAATCTTCCCCGAAATGCGAAGAGGTCAAAAGGTCGGTGCGGCATCAAATGGCAGCAAAAACTATAAATAACAACCGAAAAAAAAACAAGAAAAACAAAACTCACGAAATGGAAAATTCCTCTGTTAATTAGAAAAACCAACACACCAGCCAGCCGGCAAATGAAATTAAAAAAAAAGAACGAATTCAAAGCACAAGAGATAGAGTGGCAATTTGGAAAACACTTTCCCTGTCCCTGCTCCTGAAAATGCAAATGAGCTGAGGCCTCTGGAACTCAAACTCAGACTCAACTCCGGGTTCCTGAGTCCGGCTCCGGTCATTGGCCGTTGGTCAGTTCTGGAAGTGGAAGCGTATCTGTATCTGGTTTTTCGCCCTCTGTTTTGGCCCTTTGCTTTGGCGAAAGCGACACACGTCGCACACACATGGCACAAATTGGCCCAAGGGCTCTGTCCAACTGGCCCAAATACTCGAATCCTTGTGCACCCTTCCTGCGGAGGTCCTACTGACACACTTCCCCACTGGACACTGGACACATTGTCCGAATCCCAGTTTTGATTACACAAACTCTGAAGCAGCCATAAATAATGTACACATACCATATTATATGTTCATGGACACTCTGGTGTGGACTCACCTCGATGCGTTTGGAATTTTTAATGCGCCCAAAATGGTGAATGGTCCTCGAGAGTGGTACATGTCCTGGGGTGGAAATTGTAGGGCAGGACGATTTATATGTTCTGTAATTGAAAATTAAATGGAAAGTGTTAAGTAGGCGGAGGGATAGCTAGACTTACGACTTATTCCAAGTGAACTATTTAAACATTTGAACTACATTTAAGTTAGGCTATATTTCAAGTATTTCTGCGAAAATACAATATTTATAATCTTGAATTAATTTTCAAAATGGTTTTAAGTATCTCTTATTACTGAGGGACTCCCCATTAACACGTGATTTCATTACTTTGATCGACAAATTGCCAAAAATCGACTCCGCTTTCGAGGTAATAAAATCTGTGGAAATATTGCAGCCCCAAATTCGTAATCCCATTGACAAATGGCATTATTTGCTTTTCGAATTTATGTTATTGACTTCTAAATAACAACCAATTTAAGGTATTTATCTTTAAGCAGCGTAATTTCGTATGCTAATTCCCGTGGCAGTTGGGCAGCTAATTTATGGAAGCCGCGCTCTTGGCCACCACCGATCTGGTTTAAATATATATTGTTTTTTGCGGCTCGAACAATGCAAATTTTTATTAGCAATGAAGTCGGCGATAAAAGCTATTGGGCAACCGCTTGAAATCGTTGCTCTTTTCGGTCGAGTACAAATTGCTTAGAAGAGGTGCAAAATGCCGCGATTAAATATATTTTGCTGACTAATAACTAATTAATAACTTTTTGAGAGACTTGTTTTTTAAAGAAAATAATAAAAAAACAAAAAGCTAACAAAATATTGAATATCAAGTTTCAATCTTAGAACCCCAAAATGAGATAAGGCGAAAACGCTTGCCAAAACAAAAAGAAGACGAATTCATTTGTTTTTATGGCCCAAAAAGGTGGGAGATGCTCAAGAAAAAACATAAAGTTTACAACAAAGGCGAGGGCGTGGCACATACACACACACACACAAGACCCAAGTCATTGAAAAGATAAATTTCTTAATTTAAATTCAGAGCCGGAGTCATCATGTTTTGTTCGTTTCCACCCTCGAACGATTTTCATTTCCGTTACAAATGCTTTTCAATTTCGCCGAAGCGAAATTCAATTTTCAAACGTTTTATTTCGACAGCGTTTTGATTTAGTCGCGCTCTCTTTGAATATTTTACACGAATCGCTTTGATTTTCGATTCGAAATTGGGTTTGGTTCGGGTTCGGGCTTGGGTCGGGGTCTGGATCGGGGCTTTGGGATTTGGGCCTCCATTTTTGTGGCCTTTGTGCTTTGCGTTTTGTGTAACTATGGAATATTTATTATTTAAATTTCTCGACTGCCGCTCGGCGGCACTAAATCATGCGACAGGCCCGAAAACACTCGCATATTCGTAAGTTGTTTCTTTTTTTTTCGTCGACGCATGATTTAGGTGCAGCCATAAATTCAATTTTAAGCTTTTTGGTATTTCATTTCGGTCTGGCTCCGGTCGGGATCTGGTTTTGGATGAGGGTACTGGTACCAGTTCGGGTCCGGGGCCAAGATAAACACTTGACAACGTGCTAAGGCCGGCCACTGGCAACGGCAACGCGATAAGCGCATAAATAAAGCCCCCGTAATAAATTCAGCGTCGCATTTGACGCCGCCATCGCATCTGTGTATCCATGGAACTCTTTCGAGGGGGAAAGGGTATTGTGACACTGACACTTGCCATGATTCTCCAAGCAACAAGCCCCATGCTTCATGGTCCTCCAGAGCCACTCACGACGACCACTTGGCCCAACTGTACCATGCATCATCTGTGGAGGCTGTGTAAATAAACCATTGAGACAAGTCATTATTTCTGCGAGACAAGTCAACATTTATGAGACCTTTTAAGCCTTTCAGTAGAACCTAAGGAGGCTTTACTTAGTCTTTCAATCGGAAGGTCAAGAAAAAACATATATTGGACACAGAATCAGAGGCTCAAGGGGATTTTAGCAAATAACAAACTAGCTAACAGGCTATTTTTCAAATTATTTTATGATATAAGCTAGGTAAAATCAATTGTTGAATCGAAGAATTTAGATTCTGCATTATTATTCTAAAACTGCATAGCTATATGCGTTCGTAAAATAAGGTAAAAACTAACCTTTTCACCTTCTCAGCCACTGCCATCTGGTCAGCTGTTGTTACCGGCCATAATTGCCCGGCAGGACGACGGAGAATATACGACATCTGCGTCGATGGAACAAAACACACTGTCGGAAAGGATGAAAATCCTGCAGACAGCAATTCACGGCAATCAAACAGCGCGGAACACGAGTTAAAAGGCGAAAGGATGCGGCGCAGTGTGAGAGTGGCAAGTCCATTAAAAGGACATTCCACGCCGGCGATCCACATGTGTCCGCTCGACGTGCCGTGCCAAAAGGACGCAGGCACTCCGGCTCTTTCATATTTTCCTTTTTAATTTCCTTTTTTTTTCTCTCCTTTTTTGTTTTTGTAAATTGAAAACTGTGTGCGATGCGGATGCAGCATTGCGTGGCAATTACACAGGCCCTCATAAATTGCGTCCTTTTGAAAGGAGTAAGGTGCGACGGGGGGTCCCGTTGCCGTGCCACTTCGAGGTGGCCAAGTGGCGATGGCAAGTATTTCATGTCGTGTTTACACTCACTTCCCGCGGCATACAAAATCCAGCAAAGAGGGTCAGGATATATTAAAAACCGCAATTAACCGCGGCCAGTGCCTCCAGTTTGCCAATTACCGCCTGACTTGTGAGCCGATGCGACAGGTTGCGGCGCGACTCATTTATATTATTAAGTTTCTTTTTTTAAATTTATCAATTTACCCTTTTTGCCCAGCCGCTCGGCCAGTGCATAATTGGAAAAGAGCCCATGAAAACAATAATTACTTGGGGTACTTCATGCACGCGGGCATTTCCAATGAGTTTCTCCTCCTGGCTTTAAGAGATTGGGTATAAAGTTTAGGGCGGGAACAGTAATTCTCATATGTGTGTAATATTATGATATATTATTTCTGGTTTCCATAAGGACTGTCAGACAAAGTGAAGCCAATGTTCAAGTAAAATGTAAAATTTAAATATGTATATATAACCCCCTATTAAAAATATGTAGAACGGTAATAAAATATAACTAAGCCCTTTTAATTCTTAAAGAGTCCAATGGAAATTCATAAATTTTTTATACATATATTAATTTTGTGCATGTATATAATATTTTAAGGTTTATGAGTACATTTATTAAAAAATGAATAAATAAACATTGCCACTAAGGAAAATGATATTTCAAAATTCCAATTCTAAATATCCCCCTCAAAAAATGCCACCCAGGCAGATTCTTCGGGTTCTTTGACCCAATTAGAATGCATATGGCGGAGGAAAATTTCCTAAAAATCGGAGGTAAGTCGGCGTGGTTTTCATGGCGATTTCCAATATTGAATTTGCCAATTAAATGTTTATCTCTGGCTAATTACCGTCGCCGCTGGCCCTGCCGCCCGCCGCCTTTGAAAAAAACCATAACAACAGCACCCCGACGCCGTCATTATTCAATTAAAAATTGCCTTTTCCCCTCGTTTTTGGCACGCACTAAACCCCATAAAAGTCATAAAAGTCGTAAAGAGCAGCATAAAAACCATAAAACGAAAATGAAAAGAATCTTAAAAAGCGGCGGCGAAGGCGGATAAAAAAACGAGTTTAAGGTGATTTCTGATTGATAGGGAAAACCACTCGCAACATGTTCGCCAGCGCTCGCTTTTCCGCTGCTCCGCTTTTCCACTTTTCCACTCAAAGGAAAGGCGAGTGGAAAACGCAGCTCCACTTCGCCTGTTGCTCTCTCACTCTCTCTTAGTGCTTGCTTCTCACGGGGTTTTTTTCAATCAGTGTCTGAGCACAATGATTTTTATTTTTATGCGCCAACGTAACGATCTCGTTTCCACTTACTTAAATCTACATTTTAACTGCCTAGCACATTTTATGTCCCATTCTGGCAGCCGTGGAAGGATGCGAAGATGCGCGCGCTTTTGGTAGTTTGCTCTCGCTCTCTCCCTGTGTCTCTTGCGCCTGTCGCCAAAAAGAAAGCCCCAAAGAGAGCCCCACCAAAGAGAGAATTTTTCTAGGTGGTCTCTGGGCAGTAAAGTGGTCACTGGGCAGTTACAACAATTACAACAAAACTAATTAAAGTTAGCATAAAGCCAAAAATAGCAGAGAGCTCCACATAGAGAGAGAGAGTGCCCCAAAGAGAGCCCCAAAAAAGAGCGCCGGCGGGGAGACAATTGAGCCACATTCACCAAACGATTATGAGGCCATCTCAGTCGCACTTAAAACGGCCATTACCAACGACAGTTATGGCGACGACGTCGGCAGCGACTGCGACGGCGGAGAGCGTGAGAAAAGCAATTCTCACGAAGAGCTGCGTATCGATTATGCTCAACGGCCGGCGATTTACTTGTCTTAATGCGAGAGCGACACGTGGCGGCGTGAGCGAGCGGAAGTGCTGTCGCCATCTCGCTTTTCTGCTCTCTTTGCCCGGCGCAGCCATTATTGTGCGCAGCTCTTTCTCCCTCTCTCGCTCAGGCTCTCGCTGCGTCTCGCTCTGACGCAGGCAGGCCCGTCACTCGCCAGCTCGCTCGCTCCCACTCACTTTTGAGTTATCGGCAATTTGCCTTGGCCATTATGGCTTCCGTGTGCGCTGCCGCTGCGGAGGGGGCGTGGCTTGTCGGCCTGAGCGCAGTAGCATTTCGCACAGGGGTTTTATGGCCCCGTTTTATGGCTCATTTTCGTCGGCAGCGGAGAAAACCGGGCCTGGCGCTGCTGCTTCTTCTGCGGAGATTTTCTGCTTTGACATTTGCCGTCGCTGTTTGTTGTTTGTTTGGATAATTATTTGGATTGTTATTAGATTGTTGCAACAACTATAAAAAGGTCGTAAAAAATATTTTTATTTCGCCCTAAATGATTTTTAGTGGCCCAGTGGCAGCGGCGATGCCTTGCGGTGACAAATTGCCCCTCGAATAGCAGATTATGCGTCTAATCACCGTCTTGATGCCTCGAGTCTTTGTCTGCCGCTTCTTCTTCTTCGGTTTGTGGCCTTTGACCCCCACACATGTGTGATAAGAGGGGCTATGGTGGGGTTTTTAATAAAACTGGGGTTATTTGGTTAATATTTGAAGTATTATATAATAATGTCGGGATTTTTGAAGTAATATTTCATATACCAAAGAATGTTTAAAGTACCCATTCTTGAATGGTATAGTTTTTATTTCAAAAAAGACAATCAAAAAAGTATAAAGATTGATATATTTTTTCTTTTGGAACCTCTGACATTTGTTTCTGAAAATTTTATAATAGACATGTCAGATTTAAAATAAATAAGGAGTCGTTAAATATTTTATGTGAAGGAAGGCAATTTTTAAAAAATTGTTTTTCGGGATATTAGGTTGTTTTTATATTTTTTAATAATGATTAAGTCCTAACAAATAGTGTATATGACATCAGAAAACTAATTTACAGCGATGACAAAATAAATATTTTAATTTTGAATAGAAGTTTGATATTATTTAATAAATGGTGAGTTCATATTTCACTTTATATTTACCAAATAATCTCTTCCAAAGGAACCAATTATTTTAAAGTAAACCCTAAATAAGAATCACTTCATCCGTTCCTTGAGATAATGGCAACTTAATACGCTACCCGAAGAAATATTGCGCTATAAATCAATTCGATTCCCACTGATTAATAAACTCCATCATTGGATTCAGATTCGATTTCATTTTCAGTCACCACCGATACCTTTTGCATACAAAAACCGATTATTTATCACTCTTTCATGCGGCAAACATAATTCTTGTGGCCTTCGAAGGGCATGGCAACATAAGGCCAGAAAGGAGAGAAATAAGTCAGATAAAGAAAAGGCATTTTAACGAAACTGTCACGGCCCGGGAACGTGAGTTCCGTGATTGGATTGCCCAATAAATGTTTATCGAACGCCGAACAAATGCGTATCTATTCCCCGAATGTTTGCCATGTTTTGGGAGTTCTTTTTTGTGGAGAAACCACTGGGACTTCGGGGACCTTGGTTTGAGTTTTTGAGACCCCAGCTGGCTGGAGGAGAAACAAAAGACACGTCTGAAAGAGAGCCAGGGAAGTTATTTTCATGAAATTAATATTGAGTGCGCTGCGGGGCCATCTGAGTCCGAAATGGGTAATTAAAATAATAAAAGCATTTTTTCGACTGCCAATGCATTCGGAATTTTAATTAAAAAGTCGCATCCGTCGGTCTGCCATTATAAATTCAGCAGGGCGACATTTTCAGAATGTTTTCGCTTTTCGTAAACAAATATTAAGATATTTGCCGCGGGCAAATGCGTTTTTAAGTAGCAGCTCCTCGGCCATTAACGATCTTATAAATAATTCCGTCTGCCGGGCATCCCATCCCATTCGATTTAATTGACTCGCCCGGTTTGACTAATTTTGGAACTTTTTCCCCTCTTTTTTTTCTGTTTTTCCATTGGCTTTCCATCAACGCTTCTTCGTTCTTGGGTCTTCGCTTCTTCAGTCCCCTGGCAGCTGTTCTTCTCCTCCAGATACTCCTCTATTCTCGTCCGCTTATTTATGTGCATTTTCCAATGTTTTCCTTTTTTTTTTTTTTTTTTTTTTGGTAATTTCTTTGAAAATGTGCGACTTGTCATTCGGCAGCAGCAGTAATTTCACCCCCTCCTTTTTCAGGTCAGACATCCCGTTTTCCACTTGCCCCTCTCTCCGCTCAGCTTAATTATCTGTTTTCTCAATGTCATTTTTTATGTTGCACCTTTTGATTTGTGTCACCGTGTGACGACGTTTTTGGTATCTTTCTTTATTTTTTGGCGATACCTGTATTCTTTATGTCTTTCTCTTTTTTTACGAACTGCCATTTACGTCCTGTTTGGCGTATTTTTTTTTGGTTTCAAGGTCAATACGGCGGGTGAATGATGTGAAATGGTGCATCTATTGCCTAAAGAAAGAACGACCTTACCATGTACCTTTATTCAAAGAAAATAAAATTTTGTAGTTATAGAAAATTAATTCATTAAATTGCAAAATACTCAAGATCATTGATATTTACGATTACTAAATAGGGTTAGTTTTTAGAGAACATTTTTAAATATGTTTTCTATTTTTATATTGGTATATTATTAAATATTACAAAAAAATGTATTCTAATTTTTAATTAAATATATTCATATATAAAACCCATGAGGCAACCCTGCGTGAGAAACAATTACCATCCTTTACAAAATTATATGGACCCAAAGAGAAAACTCAATTTAATTGCATTCATTTAATTTTAGATCACTTTGCAACTGAGCTCATTGCAATTATTTGAGCCGCAGTCGAGTGCATTTTAAAGAGAAACAACAATTACAAATTATATACATTTCGCATGAGCATCCTGGATGTGGATGTGCATCGCATCTCACCGCCGGCCATCTACTTTCGTCAATTACGAAATGGCCAGCTCGAATGGCGATGCGGATGGAGACGGAGCTGGTGCTTTAGCTGGAGCTGGATGGA